GTTTCCTGGGCAAACAAAATATAATGGAGTTTATGAGCACTAAACCAGTCCTACAAGAAATACTAAAGGACACTTTCTGAGTGGAAAAAAAAGACCATAAGTGAGAGTATAAAAAGTAAAAGACACAAAAGCAGTAAAAAAAAAGTATTTCTATAAAAATAGTCAAAGTTTCATAAAATAAGAGGATGTAAAATAGGACACCAATTACCTAAAACATAGGCAGGAAGGGAATAAAGAATGGGTTCAAACATAAGCAACCATCAACTTAATACAGACTCCTTAATGCAGATGACATACAAACCTAATGGTAACCATACAACAAAATCCAGTAGTTGATATGCAAAGAATAAAGAGAAAGGAATGCAAATAAATCACTAAAGAACACCAACAAACAATGAAAGAGAGCAAGAGAAGGATCTGGAAAAAACTACAAAAACAACCACAAAACAAGAAACAAAACAGCAACAAATACACATCTATCAATAATTACTTTGAATGTAAATGGATTAAATACTCTAATAAAAAGACATAGAGTGACGGAGTGGATACAAAAACAAGACTTATCTATATGATACTTACAAGACTCATTTCAGACCTAAAGGCACCTGAAGATTGAAAGTGAGGGGATATAGATACATTTATTACACAAATGGTGTCAAAAGAAAGTCAGGGTAGCAATAATTGTATTGGACGAAATAGTCTTTATTTTTTTATATTTATTTTTTTAAAGATTTTATTTATTCATGAGACACACATACAGAGAGAGAGAGGCAGAGACATAGGCAGAGAGAGAAGCAGGCTCCATGCAGGGAACCCAATGTGGAATTTGATCCCAGGTCATGCCCTGGGTCAAAGGCAGACTCTCAACCACTGAGCCACCCAGGCATCCCAAAATAGTCTTTAAAACAAATACTGTAACAAGAAACAAAGAAAGACATTACATAACAAAAAGGGGACAATCCAATAAGAAGATACAATTGTAAATATTTATCACCAACATGGAAGCACCCAAATACATAAAACAGTTAATTGGGTAGAACTGGTGGCCCAGCGGTTTACGCCGCCTTCAGCCCGGGGTGTGATCCTGGAGACCTAGGACTGAGTCCCACGTCAGGCTCCCTGATGGAGCCTGCTTCTCCCTCTGCCTGTGTCTCTGCCTCTCTCTCTCTCTCTCTCTCTTCATGAATATAAATAAAATCTTTTAAAAACCCAGTTAATAGCAAACATAAAGGAATTAATCAATAGTAATGCAATAATAGTAGGGGACTTTAACATCCCACCTACATCAATGGACAGATCATCTGAACAGAAAATCAGAATGGAAATAATGGCTTGTATGACACACTGGACCAGATGGATTTAATGGATATATTCAGAACATTCCATCCTAAAACAGCAGAATACACATTCTTTTTAAGTGCACCTAGAATATTCTCCAGAATGGATCACCTATTAGGCCACAAAACAAGTCTCACCAAATTCAAGAAGCTCAAAATCCTACCATGCATCTTTTCTGACCCCAACACTATGAATCTATAGATCAACCATAAGAGAAGAATCTGAAAAGAGTACAAATACATGGAGGTGAAATAACATGAATGGGACAACCAGGAAATCAAAGGAGAAATCAAAAAGTACATGGAAGCAAATTAAATGAAAACACAATGATCCAAAATCTTTAGGATGCAGCAAAAGCAGTTCTAAGAGGGAAGTTTATAGCAATACAGGCCTGTCTCAAGAAGCAAAAAATAAAATAAAAATCTCAAATAAAGAACTGAATCTTACACTTAAAGGAGCCAGAAAAAGCAGAACAAACAAACTCAAAACCAGCAGAAGAAAGGAAACAATGAAAATTAGAGCAGAAATACATGATATAGAAACTCAAAAAGCAACAGATCAATGAAACCAGGTGCTGGTTCTTTGAAAAGGTCAACAAAATGGATAAACCTTTAGCCAGACTCATAAAAAAAAAAGATCCAAATAATAAACAAAATCATGAATGGAAGAAGTAAAAACCACCACACAAAAAAACAACTGTATGAGATTATGAAAACCTATATGCCAACAAATTGGACAGCTTAGAAGAAATGGATAAATTCCTAAAAACATATGACCTACCAAACTGAAACAGGAAGAAATAGAAAATTACAGATTACTGAATCAATCATCAAAAAACTCCCAACAAACAAAAGTCCAGGCCCAGATGGCTTCACAAGCATATTCTACCAAACATTTAAAGAAGAGCTAATACCTAATCTTGTCAGTTTGAGAAGATTCTATTCCAAAAATAGAAGAGGAAGGAAAAATGTCCATTCTATGAGGCCAGTGTCACCCTGATACCAAAACCAGTAAAGCCACCACAAAAGAGAGAGAGAGAGAGAGAGAGAGAGAGAGAGAGAAGTATGGGCCAATATCTCCAATGAACACAGACACAAAAATTCTCAAAAAAATACTAGCAAACTGAATACAACAATACATTAAAAAAATCATTCACCACAATCGAGCAGAATTTATTCCTGGGACACAAGGGTGGTTCAATATTCACAAATCAATCAACCTAATACATCACATCAATAAGGGAAAGGGTAAAAACCATACGATCATGTCAATAGATGCAGTTAAAGCATCTGACAAAGTACAACATCAATTCACCATAAAAACCCTCAACAAAGTGGGTTTAAGAGGGCACATACCACAATATAATAAAGGCCTTATATGAGGAACCCACAGCTAACATCAAACTCAGTGGAAGAAAACCGAAAGCCTTTCCCATAAGGTCAGGAACAAGACAAGAATGTTCATTCTCATTTATTCAACATAGTACTAGAAGTCCTAGCCATGTAGGCAAGAAATAAAAGGCATCCAAATTGGTAAGGAATAAGTAAAATTTTTTGCAGATGACATGATACTATCTATAGAAAACCCTAGACTCCACCAAAAATCTGCTAAAACTGATAAATGAATTCAGTAAAGTCGCAGGGTACAAAGTCAATGTGCAGAAATCTGCTGCATTCATATACACTAATGATGAAGCAGCATTAAAGTAAAATTAAGGAGACAATCTCATTTATGATTGCACCAAAAATAGTAAAATATCTAGGAATAAGCTTAGCCAAAGAGATGAAAGATCTATACTATGAAAATTATAAAACACTGAAGAAAGAAACTGAGGATGACACAAAGAAATGGAATGACATTCCATGCTCAAGGACTGCAAGAACAAATATTGTTAAAATGTATATACTACCCAAAGCAATCTACACATTTATTTTTTTTAGATTTATTTATTTATTTATTTATGATAGACAGAGAGAGAGAGAGAGAGAGGCAGAGACACAGGCAGAGGGAGAAGCAGGCTCCACTCCAGGAGCCTGACGTGGGACTCAATCCTGGGACTCCAGGATTGTGCCCTGGGCCAAAGGCAGGCGCTAAACTGCCGAGCCACCCAGGGATCCCCAATCTACACATTTAATGCAATCCCAATCAAAACACCAACAGCAAGAAAAACTTGGATAGCCAAACAATCTTGAAAAAGAAGTACAAAGCTGGAGGTATTGGGCAGTCCTGTGCCTGTGTCTGTGTCTCTGCCTCCCTCTCTCTCTTTGTGTCTCTATGAATAAATAAATAAAGTCTTTAAAAAAAGAAAAGCTGGAGGTATCAGAATTCTGGACTTCAGGTTATACTAAAAACTATAGCAATCAAAACAGTATAGTACTGACATAAAAATAGATACATTTATCAGAAGATAATAGAAAACCCAGAAACAACCCCACAATTATATGGTCAATTAATCTGTAACAAAGGAAGCAAGAAGATACGATGGGAAAAAGACCATTTCTTCAACAAATGACACTGAGAAAACTGGTCTTTATTATACCATACACAAAAAATAAACTCAAAATGGATTAAAGACCTAAAAGTCAGACCCAAAATGTGAATACTAGAAGAGAGCAGTACTGCTCTGACATCAGCCCTAGCAACATTTTCTAGAGATGTCTCCCAGAGCAAGGGAAATAAAAGCACAAATAAACTATCAGAACTACATCAAAATAAAACGTTTCTGCACAGTGAAGGAAACAATCAACAAAATTAAAAGGCAGTCTTCTGATGGGAGAAGATAATTTCAAATCACATATCTGATGAAGGGTGAGAATCCAAAATAGATAAAGAACTTCTACAACCCAACAACCAAAAAAAAAAAAAAAAACCCTCAAATAATCTAATTTAAAAATGAGCAGGAGACATGAAACAGGCATTTCTCCAAAGATCAACAAAAGGCCAACAGACACATGAAAAGATGTTCAACATCACTCATCATCAGGGCTAATGCAATCATCAGAGATACCACCTCTCGGAGCCGCTAAAGTCAACAACACATACACGTGTACACAGTGGAATATCACTCGGCCATAAAAAAGAATGGAATCTTGCCATTTTGCAATGGCAGGGAGAGAGCTAGAGAGTATAACTCTAAGTAAAATAAGTCAAAGACAAATACCAGACGACTTCACACATGAGTGGAATTTAGGAAGCAAACGAGCAAAGGGGAAAAAAAAAAAGAGAAAGACGAACCAAGAAACCCTCTTAACTATGGAGGACCCACTGATGGTTACCAGAGGTGAGCGGGTGAGGGGATGGGTGAAACACGTGATAGGGGATGAAGGAGGGCACTGGTGTTGAGCGGTGGGTGACGTGTGGAAGCGCTGAATCACTCTATTGAACACCTGAAACTAACATAACACTCTATGTTAACTATTCTGGGATTAAAATTAAAAACTTGGTTGAATTTAAAAAGAGATGTAAAAAAATAAAAATAAAAATAAATAGAGATGTAATGGAAACAAAGAGAAAATATTAGGACACAGGTGTCAAGCAGACAGCGTGGCCACAGATCCATCAGTGAGGGATAACGTGCAAGCTAAGACCTGAGGAGGAACTAGCCACAAGAAGGATTCTAACAGTTTCCAAGCACAGGAACAGCGTATGGAAGACCGCAGAGCATGAAAAACTTGAATATTATGCTCATGGTGCTGGAAGGTGCAGTCACCTGGGAGCAAGTCAGAGCCGAGCACTGGAGCCAGACCATGCAGGGCCATGGCCAGTCTGCGCCGTCCTCTACATACAGGGGGGATACCACTGCAGCACACACATGGGGGCTTAAGGTACGTTTTCGGACTCTCGTGCAAGCCTGTGGAGAATGGATGGTAGCCCAAGAGGAGTGGAAACGGGGAGACAAGTCTAGGGAGCTGTAGCTTCAGGACAGGCTGGAGAGGAGCAGGGCCGGGACCACAACGGTGACCTGCGGATGTCAAGAGGTGGATAGGTCTTGTGGACGTCGAACTGGCAGCATTATGTGGACAGTTTATACATCAGCCGGGAGGGAGACAGGGCAAGCCAGGGTGACTCCGACTGGGTGGGTGGTGCAAAAGTAAAGAGGACTGGAGGGGTCACGAGTTTCTGGGGTGGGAACCCGGAGTTCAGTGTGAGAAGTCTGAGAGGCATCAGTGCTTGCCCTGGCTCAGGAGCCCAAATCGATGGAGAAGCCAACAAATCGGGGCCCGGAGCAGTGTCTCTAAGAGTTCAGATCAGAAATTAGATCCTTGGATGCAAGATTTAGGTAACAAGGTCTAGTTCATCTCTTATTCCAAAAGTGGCTTTTCCCATCTCTGTTGCTCTCTTCCCCTCTCCCTGGGCCTTCGCTGGCAGCTGCCTAAACTCCAGGCGGCCCAAAGCACCCGCTCCCTTGTCCCAAGTCAAGAGCTCAAGCAGCAACCCGGTTGGGAAGAGAGAGACGATCGGAAGCCTCCTACAAACTGAAGACTGGGTCTAGCAGCCTACCGGGTTCTATTGCTCCCTTGTCTTTCCAAAAACTGAACAACAGGTTTTGCAGCCTAATCATTTCTCCGTAATCCATCTCACCTCCTATCATTTCATTTCTCTACCCCACTGATGCGAGTATTTCCTCATTCCCCCCTCCACGCAAAGGAAGCCTCTCCCAGCTGCTAACCCACACTAGTGATCTCGCCCTTCAGGGATATCAGGCACAAGGAGGCATTTAAAGACAAGGGTGGGTCATCCGCAATCCCAAAGCCTTAGGATTGTCACCCTAATGTTAGTGGACCTAAAAACGTGGAGTCCTCCAAGGGCAGAGGAACCTGCTGACTGTGACATGACCTCCCTTTTCACTCCATTCACCAGACCTGGAGGGGACCTTGGTCATGAGCGACAAGGAAGGCTTCCAAGGCCAGGAAGACACACGTCCATGTCCTGAAAGGACCAGGAGAACTATAAGGCCCACACTCCGGCCAGAAGACCGAGCTCTCCTCCCACACTCTAAGGTCTCCCAGCAGAGCACTTTCTCCTGGGAGCCGCTGACCCACACCTGAAGACCAAAAAATCTGCCAAGCCACCAGCAGAGGGGTAGCCCCAGGATACCGAAGGAGGAAAAACACCATGTTCGGGGGATTTTACTCTCATAAAAGCTGCCCTGCTGGCCTGTCCAGTCTATGACCTCAGAATCTCTGACTCCTTGATGACCCTTCAGCTGAACCCTTGCCAGCCTGGCTGCCTAGCTCTTTCTGGGCAATGAACAACTTTGCAGTTCCTCATGGGTTTGGGACTGTAAAAAACCATGGACCAGATCAATCACTGGCTGGAAGACATTAAAAAAGAAAAAAGAGGGATCCCTGGGTGGCGCAGCGGTTTGGCGCCTGCCTTTGGCCCAGGGCACGATCCTGGAGACCCGGGATCGAATCCCATATCGGGCTCCCCGTGCATGGAGCCTGCTTCTCCCTCTGCCTATGTCTCTTCCTCTCTCTCTCTCTCTGTGACTATCATAAATAAATAATTAATTTAAAAAAAAAAAAAAGAAAAAAGAAAGCTGTAAGAGAAAAAAATCAGAAGCTTTATTTCATGTTTGCTTTTTAGTTGTGAAAAATGTAAGGCTTTAAGTTTTTTCCAACAGGTGGAAAATAGTTAAGGTGCAGTATCACTCAAAAAATTCTGAAGCCTGACACTATACGGGACTGTGTAACTGAGGGACGAAAAGGCTCAAAATTATATATGGAGAATGATAATTTTGTAGAACATACATAAAATAATGGCAAAAATGCAACGAGGAACTATACAAACAATAACGAAGGTTGTTGTTTGACACCAAATTGTTTTTCCTTTTCCTGTTCTAATCCTTCAGTTATTTACCAGTAGTTTCCTAAAAAATTAGCATTCCTATTACAACAGAGATATTGTAATTGTTTTACTTTTTTTTTTAAGTGTTCCTTCCAATGTAGTAGGATACATAGGAGTTTTTTTTTTTTTTAAGATTTTATTTATTTATTCGCGAGAGACAGAGACACAGACAGAGGGAGAAGCAGCTCCATGCTGGGAGCCCGACGTGGGACTCGATCTCGGGTCTCCAGGACTAGGCCCTGGACTGAAGGTGGTGCTAAACCACCTGAGCCACTCTGGCTGCCCCTGTTTTACTTTTTAAATTTTTAAAAAATTCATTGTAAGTAGGATGGCTCTGTCAGAACATGGAGCTTACTTAAAAATAAATAAAATCTTAAAAATCAAATGAGACAAAAATTATTTTAAGAAGCCTCCCTGGGATCCCTGGGTGGCGCAGCGGTTTGGCGCCTGCCTTTGGCCCAGGGCGCAATCCTGGAGACCCGGGATCGAACTCCACGTCGGGCTCCCGGTGCATGGAGCCTGCTTCTCCCTCTGCCTGTGTCTCTGCCTCTCTCTCTCTCTCTGTGTGTGTGACTATCATAAATAAATTAAAAAAAAAATAAAGAACATTTTTCTATTAAAAAAAAAGGCTCCCTGCCCAGTGGGAGCTTGGACTCATGACCCCGAGATCAAGAGTCACATGCTCTAAGGACTGAGCCAGCCAGGCGCCCCTATTGTTTCACTTTTTTAAAAACAAATTAGACATAAATTCCTCTGCTTTCCTCCCCACAGCCCGGTTAAAGAAATAGATATAATGTAAATCTAAATGTTTTAAAATTGCTGTCAACAAAAGGTTAGTAGTGCTACTATACCCAAAATGTTTTCTTCCGTGAATTTAATTTAACTAAGTCCAGAAGATCTGAATTTGTGATCAGAACACTGGGATCAACTATAAATTTTTTTTTTTGAGATTATCGTATTTTCACATACAGTTGTAAGAAACGATACAGAGAGATCCCATGCCCGCCTTTCCACCCAATGGTAATATTCGTAACCATAATAAGACCACGCCAGGAAACGGACATCCACAGACCTTACTCAGATGTCCCCAGTTTTACACACCCGCTAATTTGTGTGTGCGTATCTATTTACCCAGTTCTATGAGATTTTATCTCATGTGGATTCACGTGACTGTCACTGACCACACTTCAGAACATTCCCATCACTGTGGCTCCTTGAACAGCCAGGGCCATGGCTCACCCTCCCTCTCCTGCTCCCCAACTCCTTAGGTAGGTAGGGTTAGCGGCGATCAACTTTTGGCCAATGAACAATCATTGATTCCCCCATGTGCAAATCACTGTGCCAAGCCCTGGCGGACGGTGACAGAAGTATAAATAAAATAAGCCGGATAGCCTCGTGGTTACCAGACGAACTGGGTTCAAATGTTGGGTGTGCCACTTACTGGCTGTGTGACTGCGGCAAAGCACTCAGCTCTACACCATCGTTTCTTCAATAAAATGTGGCTAATAATAGTACCTCCTGGGGTTATGATGAGGATTCAAGGAGTTGATATTTGTAAAGCAAGTAGAAGGTGCCCGGCACGAAGAGATGTGCGTTAACTCTCTAGAACTCACGATCCAGCAGAGAGCCCATGGAACTCTGACCGGGTCAGCCCGTGTTGAGTGCGGGACAATCTGTGCAAGCCCAGGGCAGGGGGAGGACGTGGGAGGGAGCTGCTGGCTCCAGCTGTGGAAAGCTGAGGCAGGCTTCACAGAAAAGAGAATATTTGGGTTGGGCTTCGAAGTCTGAGTAAGACTTTGAGAGAGATAAAAGGGAAGGGACGGTGTTTCATGCCTGTAAAACCACATGACCTGTGGCCCCGAGGCAGGAGGAGAAGGCAAGAGCCATTCGGAGAGAGGACAAGGCCTCAACTGGAGCCCGTGAGGAGGTTGCTCGGGCGGGCAGGGGCCGTGGCCTCAGAGGAGGGCTGAGGGAGGCTGGGGCCAGGTTCTGAGGTGTCTTGGATGCCCCGCAATAGTTACCCCCAGAGCTCTGCAGTCCTGGAGGAGACGGGCAGGGAGCTGAAGCTGCTCCAGTCCTCCAGAGCACAGGGAGGAGTGATTCAGAGCAGATGGGAAAGTGCCCCCTCCATCACACCACTGCTCTGGGTGGGAGCACGAAATCTTGAGTGTTTGGGGCATGGGGAATTAGAGGTGATCAGGCCAACTCATGCCAGAACCTGTGTTCTCCCTGCCTGGGCAGATCCCCCGCCCCAGCCAGGTGTTCTCAATGCCCCACACAGGCAACCCCCTGGGACTCCCAAAGAAAAGCCACTGGGCACCAGCAGCTTGGTGGTCGTGGGGCCACGGTGTCTACTGATTGTCTGGCCCTTTGCCCTCTTGAGGCTCAGGAGCCCCGGTCCTGGAACCTGTGACTGGCCCCAACTCCCCACGCCCTGCCTTGGACAGGTGCCTCTCCCCTGGTGGTTCGGGGCCCTCACCCCCCTGGGTGCTGTGACTCTGCTCTCTCCCTGCCCCGGGCCTGTCCACATTTCCGGTCTTTCACAACCATAATTCTCGCCTCTCTGGTCCCAGGCCTTCCAATGACTTGTTGCGGCCTCCGCCTGGGTGTGGCCTGTAGGACAAGAGCAAATTACCCTACTTCTGCCTTGAAATTTTTCTCAACCGGCCACCTTCTGGCTATTTTTCTCAGTGTAGAAAGAGAAGGACAAAGAATGCTTATTTCCCTTGTCTAACCTAATGGAATGGTCCGTTGCACACAGACTGGGAACATGCCTGATTACGCTGCTTAGTAGCACCAGACACGTTTCTGTTATTCTCCTACCCACGAGGAGAGAAAGGTGTTGGAATACATGATTCTTGGTCAGATGGTGGTAGCGGTGGTTTATAATCTGACTTTGAAAACTAAGAATCCCCCAAAATAAAAATAAGGAAACCCTTCTCCCTAAGCAAGGGAACTTATCTGAAGGTCACCAAGATGAAATCTAACCAAACAAGACTTAGAAATATTCCCAAGCACTCCTAAAAAGACACATTCTTGCCCTCCCTATGAAGAGTGGTCCTCCTCCCCTACCCCCCGCCCTTGCAGCTGGTCCATGAGACAGGACTTTTGACAGCATGTATCCTCAATACAACCCCTTCCCGAGGAAACACCTCAAGATGTTCTTCTAAGCCATAAGAGGCCAAATGCACTCACAGCAACGAAATCAAATTTTCATGTAAACAAAGAGTATGTCATTTGTTAAAAAAAAAAAGGGGGGGGGGCCACACAACAGCAAGCCAAGAATAGCAAAAAAAAGAAAACTTACATTTTCCTAATGTCATGGTCCAAGCCCAACAAATTCAACGATTCGTGTGTTTAGAAAAATGGCAACATCTTCAATTCCCTAAGATGCAAACACTTTTATACGATTAGACCTTGACTATTGCTTCAAGGTGGTGTTCAATCTGTTTAAAGGTGATTTGAGTCTTCGCTTTTCTGACCTTCTCCCAGGCGGAGGGCAACCAGACAGTGCGAGGAAATACAACATAAATGATAGAGAAGAATGATCTATTCTTAATCTAATGCGAGATTATCTATTAACAAATGAGGTGTGCTGGCTTCTCACTGCAGCAGACGCTTTAGGGAAGGTCAAAAGGTCAACCCCCACCCTCACCTCGCACGGGCCCCCCACCACCCACCTCCGGACTCTCATCCCCAGGATGGTTTTAATTGACTTTTTTTCTGAAAGGTCTAGGAGTGTCTCAAATTCTAACATGAATAAAAATCACCTGAGGGGCTTGTTACAGTGGCTATTTCTGAGTCTCCCTCTAGACTTCCCCATTTACATTTCGGGGAATAGGGCCTGGGAGCCACATTTTGCACAAATTCCCTGAGAAATTCTGATCTAGGGGAAAGTCAGGAAAACTCTTGGAGGAAACAGTAGGTCAAAAGAGAATAAAACTGGAGTACTCTGGGCGTGAGAAGCCAGAGAGCTGAGGTGGAGAGAAAAGGGGCAGGGGTTTGGAAGGCTCCTGTCCTCGGTTCGGGGCTTGGTCTCACCTCCTGGGCAGGCAGGGACCACTGGGGGGTTTTAAGCAGGGCTGGGTGGGGGGGAGTAAGCTTTGCATGTAACTTGCCTCTTAAGCGTCAGCTCACAGCTCATGGGTCACCCTCCCTTCCTGCCACCCCAGTCCGAGGCCAGGAGAGATTCCTGCTCCGCTGGGCTGAGAGCCTGGGCACACTCCTAACTCACCACGGACCACACTGTATCGACACAGTCCATTTACCCGGAGTATTGTTCTAGTTCTCTCTCTGCGGTAAGCCTCTGCAGGCAAGGCGTTGCCTGGTGCCCAGTGCCTGGCATACAGTAGGTGTCCCATAAATGCTTAATCAAGCAGACTATTGGGTTCCATTTGCAACCACATCACCATCTGAGAGTCCTCGTGCAGAGAGCAACCTCAGTGCCCACCCCCCCCCCCCATGCCGCGCTCAGGGGCCCCAGTGATTCATTTCTAGCTGAGAAACTGGGCCCTATGTCCGAACCTCTCATTTATCAGAGGATATTAGTCTAACAGGAGTCGCAATGAAACCTCAAATTCCTGAAGTTTTGATCGTTTTGTCATGAAATTAACCCGTTTATGCTTTTACGATTCTAAAAGGACTAAAGCTCCGGCAGCTCTCCCAGACCCCAGCGTGTAGGCCAAGCCCCGCGGAGGATGGGAGACACAGGGAAAGCGGTGCGTGGTGATTACAGCAGGGAAGCACGTGCTGTCCAGAGTCTTTTAAGTCTTAAAAGCAAAACACCTGGATTCTGTTCTGGAACACCCCCCCCCCCATCCTCCACGGCACCCCACCCTAGCCCCAGCTCCAAGCACCTGTTTCAACCTGGCCCGGCCTTTCCACTGGAGGGCAGACTGCAGACCTGGGGGGTGGGGGGGCAGGTGGGGGGTTGGGGGAGGTGGGTGGGGGGGTGGCAAGGAGCATTTTAAAAGCCGTAAGCATTTGCCGAAGGCAAGAACTGGTTATGAGCTGGGAGTCACAGCCCCCACGTGGGAGCTCCCTTCCCCCTTCCGAGGCTCCCGGGCAGAGCCAGAGACTCAAGCTGGGACCTCGGGTGGGGGTGGGGGTGGGGCCCCTTGGCCCGTGCGCACCGTGACCCGACCCGACCCTGACCCCGGGCGGCCTACCTGGCGGCGCGGGCTCTGTACACCTGCTCCCGTCCCATCCCCGAGGCGGGCTCTGTGCTCCCAGCCCCTCCCAGGAAAGGGTCATCCCGAGGCCTGGGCGAGCCTCGGGGAACCCCGGGGGGCCCGTCGCCAGCCCCGGGAGGCCAGGAGGCCCCGCGCCGAGCGGCCGCACACCTGGGCCCGGAGGGGGCCTGAGGGCCGCCCCGCCCCGCCCCGCCCCGCAGCTGCCCCACGCGCCGCCCGCCCGGTGGGCCGCGCCCTGGGGTGGGGGTGGGGGGCCCCCCCGCACACCTGCCCGCCCGCGAGGCTTCATTAGGCCGCGGGGCCGCCCGGCAGGTGTCGGCGGCGCGCATCGGGGCCATGGAGCCCACGCGGGAGCCCTGCCCCGAGCCGCGGGGTGAGCGTGGGGGGGGGGGCTGGGGGGGCTGGCAGGGCTGGGGAGGGAGGGAGGCCCGCCCCTGCGCACCCCATCCCCGAGGCGTCACCCGCGCACCCCATCCCCGAGGCGTCACCCGCGCACCCCATCCCGAGGTCCCCCCGCGCACCCCATCCCCGAGGTCCCCCCCCGCACACCCATCCCCGAGGTCCCCCCCCCGCACACCCCATCCCCGAGGTGTCACCCGCACTCTCCATCCCCGAGGCCCCCTCCGCGCACCCTATCCCCGAGGTCCCCCCCGCACACCCCATCTGCAAGGCGTCACCCGCGCACCCCATCCCCGAGGTGCCCCCCTCACCCCATCCCCGAGGCCCCCGTCTCCCTGCGCACGGGGCCGCGAGCCCCAGGTCCCCTCCTGCGTCTGGGCGCCGACCCCCTCCCCTCGCGCACCAGGGCGTGGCACTGGGATAACGTCGCGTTCACTGAGCACCTACTGCGCACCAGGTTAGCCGGCCTAAGATGCTGGAAACCCGGGGTGACCCCCCGCCCCCCCACCATCCTTCCTCCTGCCACGGCCCGCCCTCTTCACCAGCCGGGGCTCCCTCCTGCTGGCCGCAGGGGAACGCTCTAGAGACACCCCCCAATCCAGCTGACCAGTCCCTGGACTTACTCTGATGCTAATAATACACCATATGTCAATTAATTGAATTTAAGGAAAACAAAAGAGTTTTTAAAAGTAGAAATAAAATAGTCAGGCCTGCTGCGCACCCTGGGAGCCAACCTGCCAAAGCCCCTCACCCCGAGGCGGCCCATCTTTCTGGGCCAGGTTGTTGGAGCCTCGCTCCTGAAGGCCTCTATGTCCCGCAGTTTTCATCAAAATAACAGCAGCTCAAGAAAAAAAAAAAAAACAAAAAACAAAAAAACCCAGCAGCTCGTAGCCGCGAGTTAGCCTCCGTTTCAAAATCTTACAACCTGGAGGACATGACAAAGCGTCTCTTTGAGCTGCGGATCCTGGGGGTTATGAGTAAGGGGGGTGTTGAACTGGGACGGTTTCTGGGGGCGGAGGGGACGGGACAACTGCCTAATGATCAAGCGCCCTGTGCTATTATAGAATCTTGGGCAGATCACTCAGCTGTGGGATCCGTGTTTCATCTATGGGGCTGAGCTCTCAATAGTGCCTTCCTCTCTGGGATTAGGTGCACATCTTTGAAAGACGCTTAGGACAGAGTCTGGGACATGGTTAGTGCCTGATGAATCGGTCCCAGCCTAAAGGCAGACAGCCTTGGAGGAGGAGTGAAAGAGGCTTTTGGTGCCCGCTGGACCACTCTTCCGTACCTGTGAGGGGAGGGTTGGCTTGGGCCCAAAGCCAGAATGAGGTTCTCCTTCGTGGGGTGGGGGAGGAGGGTGCACATTGGGGGGTGAACAGGGCTGGCAGGGGCAGAGTGGGTTCTGCGGAAGGGGAGGATGGTTGTCCCCGTTAGCTCCCTTGCTGTCCTTGCCTGGGCTTCTGGAGACCAGAGTCTCGTAGGACTTGTAGGTAGAGTAGGATCTTGTCCTACCTCGTCTCTACTCCTAGTCTTGTAGGTAGAGTAGGATCTTGTCCCTACTCTAAGCAATAACACCGTTTGGGCAGCAGGAACAAAAGCCAGTCTTAGAAGCTGCAGGCTCTCAATCTCTCTCCTCCCAGGGCACTCCCAGATTTACGGTTTGTCCCTTAGAAATGCTTGAACAGACAAGACGCTTATCCCTTGACTCACGTTCCAGGTGTCTGGGGGGGGGGGGGGAAGGCCAGTAACTCACAGGAAATAATCACCCCCCGAATTAGGATTGCTCTCCTACCATCGTGCATGTGAGCTCAGGCTCCCCCTCCTAGGTGCATATATTTGCTCGCATTTTTCAAATCCGTGGATCATCTCGTTTCACCTTTACAATAGCCAAGTGAGAACGGGGAGCCTAGAATCCCTGCCCTCTGACGAGTGGGGGAATGAAAGTGTGAGGCCCAGCAGGAAACGGGCTGCAGAGCAGGAAGCCACATATCCTCTCAGGCCAGGTTCTTCCTTCTTCCTGGAGCTGGAAGGTCACTGGGTGCTGTTCCCCACAGGCCAGGAAGGTAGAGGCCAGCCCCTGGCTGCTGGGCCAGAGGAGGAACCGCTGCAGGGCCCAGCCCCCCACACTCGGGATGCCCCAAGCAAGGACCTGCCCCCCGTCCACGCTGCTGGGGAGAAGCCGCCGGCAGAGGCCCCTGGAGAACCAGCTGGGGCAGATCCTGGGAGGGGGAGCCAGCCGTCTGGCTCTGGGGCTCTCCACAAACACACGGTTACGGCCCCCCCCGGCCCCCAGCCTCCTGGGGAAGGCTGTTCCTTCCCAGGGAGGGAGGCAAAGCCCGGGAAGAGATCCTACTCCCCAGCCTCCAGTAGGCAGAGGCCGCCCAGTGCCGGGGGTTTGGCCTCTTCATCCTCTGCCGATGTCATTAACTCAGCCCAAGCCACACACAACCCAGTGCCTTGTGGGTCAGGCCGGGGGCCCTGCCATCTGGCCAACCTCCTCAGCACGTTGGCTCAGAACAGCCAAAACACAGATCAGAAGAGGACCCCAGAAGTGACGTGCCAAGTCCGGAAAAAGACTCGGACCCTATACCGCTCAGGTAGGTCCCTGAAGGTGAGGGAAAATCCAGGTGAGCCCCGTGAAAGGCGGGCTCAGCAGAGAATACAGTAGCCCCGGGAGACGGCAGTGAGGGTCGGCTGTACATCCCTCGTTCTGAATCCTCTCTTGACCGGTGGCAGGGTCACAACCCCTGACCCTCAAAGCAAACATTGGGTGGCCTCACTGGGAAGTGAAATTGGGACCAGGTTAGAAGGAGCAGGAAAGTCAACACCACACAGTTCCCTGCCGCAAAGCCCAGGAGAGGGAGAGAAGGCCCCGGCCCAATGGGGAACTTAGTCGCAAGGCTTTGGGAAGACCCTTGGGTTGGGGACAGTGGTCTCGTCTGGAAGGTGTCGGTTTCTCCTCTGCTGCTGCATCACTGTTTGTCCTCAAGCAAGTTTCTTCTTCTTCCAGACCAGCTGGAGGAGCTAGAAAGGATCTTCCAAGAAGACCACTACCCAGACAGCGATAAGCGCCGGGAGATTGCCCAGACGGTGGGGGTCACCCCCCAACGCATCATGGTAAAGGGGGTTGGCCCCACAGATCTCAGGGTGGAGGAGAAACCAGCAACTGGAGCTCTTGAGGAGCACAGCAAGTGCTCAGCGTCTCCCTGTAGGGGCCGAGGCCAGGTCTTCGATCCGGCTGTGGTCCTGCCTATTTCCACGCTGCCACAGCCTCTGATTCGAAGAGAAAAATCCCTCAGAGCCACCTAGATGAACCTTTCATAAAACCACTCTCACAGAGAAAGGCTTCTGACCTCCCCAAGTCCTATAGCTCATCGTGCGACAACCACAGCCCAAGTCTTTGTCTCTCGCGTGGTTCTGGAAACTCTTCGAGGGTCTCTCTCTCCCACCTACAGGTGTGGTTCCAGAACCGCCGGGCAAAGTGGCGAAAAGTGGAGAGGCTGAACGGGAAGGAGAACAAGGATAGTCTCGCGGGCCCTGTCCCCACCACTGCCAGCAGGTAAGTGTCCCTCTTCTTCCTGGATTGTCATCCCCATAGGTCGGAAGTGAGGTCTAAGGGGGCCTCCTGGGGTCCAGAAGGAGAGCGTGTTGGAAAGTTGGCATGTTGGAAAGTTGGCTAGAGTGGTTGGTTGATATTTAGAGAGACTTTGGTTGGAGGGGGTCGAGAAGATGCCAGAGTCTTGCAGGAAGGCAGTGTTCGGGAATCTGGAGTCCCTTTCCCCACACTGTAGCCCTGGTGCAAATCCAGGGACCCCAGGGCTACAATCTTCATTCTGTCTGCCTCCAGCTCTGCAACTGAGCTGCCACCTTCTGTGACCCTGGACCCAGAGCCTGGTACCTTTCCTCAGGAGCCCCCTCTGGATACTCTCATGGGTAAGAGGACCACCTTCTGAGGGTTATGTGGGGGAAATGGCAGCTGGAAAGACAGCAAAGAAAGAGTCCTTTCTGGGGAGATGTGGAGTGGTCCAGTGGGGCATCTGTTCAAGGGGGCCTGGCCATGGCACGCTTCTATCATCCCTAGTTCCCAGTCTGCCTCCCCATTTCCTTACCCCTATAATCCCTCTTTGACTTTGCTTCCTAGAGCCCCCCATACTGCTGACCTCTGACCAGACTCAGGCCCCACCCCAACAGCCTGAGAATACTCAAAGGGTGGCAGTGACCCCGCCACTCTTCAGCCCCCCACCTCTTCGAAGAGTCAACCTTCCTTTTCCCCTGGGCCCTGTCCCTACCCCTCAAATGATGCCTCTGCTGCTGGATACTCCTGGCAGTGACAACAGCCACAAAGAAGGCCCCTGTGGGTCCTGGGGGACAAGGTACGGAGCCTAATGGGGGACCTTGGGAGGGGTATAGAAGGAGAAAAGATAGATGGAGCTGGGGCAGGGGCAAGGGGGAGTTAGCTGAGAGAAGCAAGGAATCCTAATCGCGATGAGGATTGAAAGCACCAGTGGATTTGAAGTGGGAAAGATCTAGACTATCACCGCAACAGGGCAGGAAGGAGGGTGAGAAGCCAGGAACAGGAAGAGAAAGGAGAGGAAGCAGCAAGTCTGGGGTCCTGGAGATGGGGAGGGACTGACCTACGGGGCGGCCACGATGAGGAAGCCACCCCGAGCCTCGCAAAATGCTCCTTTGGCCCCCACAGCGTCACCCCACCACCTGCCTGTTCATACTTGGAAGAGCTGGAACCCCAGGACTACCAAGCGGGCACCCAGCCGGGGCCGTTCCCCTTCTCCCAGGCGCCCCAGGGCCAGCTCTACCAACAGCCTCAAGCCCAGTTCCCGTTCCTGCACCCCTTCCCGCTGCCCACCCCCCACCCCCTGCTGCCCCCACTGCCCGAGGACCCGCTCTTCACCTCGCCCTTCGGCCCGGGCGCGGGCCTATCTCAGGGCTACTTCCCGGGGCCCCCGTCGGGGCAGATGGTGCTGCAGCCACCTGCTGGGAACGTGGGTGAGTTGGCGCTGGAGGGCGCGAGGGGGGTGGGAAGGGCGGGCCGAGCAGGGCCGGCGGCCTGTGAGCCCCTCTCCCGCACCCCTGCTTGGCTGCGGCTCCCTGGGGGTGCGGGGCAGAGTGGGTGCTCGAGTCCGGAGGCTGAAGTCGGCGGTGCAGCTCAGCCACTCCCAGCTTTGCGGAGTCTCGGTCTCCTGGACTCTGACATGGGACTAGCAATCCCATTGGGGGGGGGCAGGGGGTTAGAAACCATAGGAGGGGAGAAGAATAGGAGGGGACCGAGTAGACGGAGGCTGACCCTGACCTGAGCAGGCCGACAAGCCACTGGACCTCTGGAACCCGGGTGCACCCCTCGTGCTAAGGCTGCACCCCAGTAGAAGGGGAGGAAGCCGTGTGGGCGGTTTGCAGTCTCCCTGCTGCCTGCGTGGGGGGCCTCGGCCTGCCCTGCCGTCCACCCCACCTCGATGTTACCAGACCGCGGGTCCCCAAGGCAGGGCCATGCCGGGTCCCCAGGGGAGCTCCTGGTGCTAGGACCACACCCACTGGCCCTGGGAGCCTCAGCTGTGTTTCTGGGGGAGGATGGGGGGGGGTGTCGCCGGATCTGCTCAGCTGTGGTGGATGCCCTTGATCCTGTCTGACCCCCCTGTACCGTCCACCCCACAGGTGCAGTCCCCTGGAATGACCCTTGCTTGCCAGAACTGCCTTTCCCCAGTCCCTTCTGTCCGCAGGCCCTGGGCGCCCCCCCTGGAGGTGAGGGCTACTTGCCCGATCTGTTCCCAGGCCCCTGTGCCCTGGCGGCGAGCAGCAGGCAGCCCTCTGCAGGCGTCCCCCAGCTGGCCGGAGGGGCCCGACCGGGGCCAGGGCCCTTCCTGGGCAAAGCCCAAGAGGAGCAGCCTGCCACCTCTGCAGGGGAGCCCTTGGCACCCCAGGAAGTCCGAGAGGAAGACCAGGACAGCCGTGGCCACTAGTTGGGGGGCCGAGGAGGAGACAGTGGTGTGAGGAGGGACTGTGGAAGCTGTTGGCTGGGGGGTGGGGGGTAGTGGGGGGAGTGAGATGCTTCCCCCTCCGAGGGCTCACCTTGCTGGACCTCATCTGAGAAGGCTGCGGGTCGGCCCCACCCTCTGCAGCCCCGAGACAGGATGGTCCACGACCTCTGACCTCTGTGCAAGCTTAGGTTTCCTTTCCTTGCCAGACGAGCAGCCAGTGTCTGTTGTAAGCATTAAACGAGTTTACTCTTGGGTTTCTCTGAGTAATTCTGTGTCTTCCCACTCACTAATTAAGAGCTGCATTTCTTTCACTCCCTTCCACTCAGCTGACCGGCTGTTGGCTGCAGTCCTACGTGTCCCAGGCGAGGTCTCCACTGGGCGCGAACACATTGGCATCCTCCCTGGGTCCAGGTCTCCGGCCCGACCAGAAATCGGGCATCCTGGGCCTCGTCTTCAGTCCTGGCATTAAACCATGTTCTGTTCCCAAACTCAGGCAGGACTGAACCCGGAGCAAATCTGAGCCTGGACATATCTCTCTAGGATTTGGGCTCTGCAGGGATAGGATTACAAGAGACAAGGATATTTTAGGTCAAGTCTCTAGCCTTGTGAATCGTAACTTGTTTTTCCAAAGCTCTTTTGTGGGGAGGGAGGGTAGGGATAAGACGTGGGAGCACTGAGAAGAGAATATTCCTGTGTGTGTGTGTGTTGTGTGTGTGTGTGTGTGTAGATACACACACACAGATATATAATACATATAATATATATAATATCTTGCCACCCCACATATGATGGCCCTAACAGTGCCAAAATACCTAGGATTTGAGGGCCACTGAATCAAACTACATTTCTGCATTTGGTGAGTGTGTGTGGGGGTACCATTCCGGACCTCCAAATGCTATGATTATTGGAAAATACACTTATAATACAAGTTTTTTTTTTAAGTAGTTGTTAACTTATATTCATCATAATAGTTCTAGAGTCATGACTCCTAAGAACCCAAAAGGCAGAGTATTTGGAAATGGAGAGGAAACTTCCTGGTTACACGAGAACACGTATGCATGCATCTCTGCAGGGTTTTCTGGGCCAACAGTATTGAGTAGCTCTGCTCTGCGGCTTTAGCCACCATCTCTTCCTGCCACCCAAGGATCCTAACAGCCAGGCATCAACAACCTTAATTTAGGAATTAGAATGTATACATTGAAATATGAAAGGACTTGGGTTATGATACATATCTGGGTCTTTTAAGGTATGTATTTTACAAATGTCTCTTCACACTCTGTCCCATGAGGCCTGTGGCATCATGAGTAGCCTAAAAGCAGACAGAAGGGGGGAAAGATGGAAGGCTCTCACCGTTCCATCACGTGCTCCTGGTAGTTCTGCTCTTTCCAACAGCCACTAGGATGTTCTGTTGCTTTCAAAGCCCTGCGGGGCTTTCAAACCCCACTTCTTAACTGGTTCAGGCTCCTGCTACTCAGATTGGTAGGGGCAGCAGGGTGGGCTGGGGAGGGGGGAGGGATGGGGGTGTGGGATGGGTGGAATGGGGCAAATGGAACAATGTAGACATGGAAAGCCAAGAACTGGAGGGAGATAGACTCTAAGGTCAACGCCTGTGTGCAACACTTAGCTAAAAAACATTACACTAGATCTAATGGCCTACTAAAAATTAAATGGGTTGAGAATTCAGAAATAATGATAGGCCAAACAGAGAAAATGGTGAAAAGTTATTAGGAGCGTAGAATCCTAGAAGTAGAAGAAAACTGATTAGCTGAGAAGTCCAACCTCTTGACAAAGGCCAGTCTCCTCTAAACCACCTCAGATGGCGGATCACCGAGTCTTGCTTTTCCAGTTGTGGGCTGCAGAGGTAGGTGGCTAATGCCTATACCAGGGCCCACAGAATTTTTGAAAGCTTTGATTATTATAAAGTTCTTTCTTCTACTAGGAAGAAGTCAATGTTGTTTCATCTGAGTTTTGCTTTCCCTGTGCTATAAAGGATAAATCTAGTAACATAAAATCTGAGGAGCGTGTGTCATTCCTCTAAGCCTTGGCCTCCTGGGGCTTGCTCTCCAGGCTCTTGACCACCCTGTGTGCCCCTTTTCAAATGAAGATGAGTTTATGTTCGTTCCTTTTAGGAGGGGTGCCAGAGCTGAACCTGACTTTAATGCAGTCTGGCCACCCGCATTGTACACTGTGACTGTCCCCTTTATCAAAAAGGGAACCCTTTTCTATTAATGTCTGGAGAGGAAATGGATTTTTTTTTCCAGCTACTTCATATTCTTGGTCCCCAAACTGTCAGCTGGGACCCCTGGGTCATTTTAATAAAAACCGTTTTAAAATCATTCTCTCTTATTTTATGTTTGGACACTTGATATTTTTGAACCTAAATATACAAAAATTTACATTGTTCAGTCTCATTTGGTTAATTTTAGCCCATTATTGAGTTTGTCAAGATGGTTTGGGGTCCTCCTATAACATTACCATTTTTTGCAGTTTTGTTCTCTGCAAATTCGATCAGTACGTTTGTTTTCTACATTTTATAATCATCATTAGTACACGAGATAAGTAATTACAGAAATTTTGACATCCCTCCTTGAAAATACTCCCTCAATGAACACATTTTGGGGCCTGAAATTCAAACTGGCTAAAAATCCCCCACTATACTATCATCCAGGGCCATCCTTTGTTATCTCTAGCATTCTGCAAAAAACATTTTGGGGAAACACTTTGCTGTATGGCTCACTAAAATCTAAACACATCTCTTTATAGCAATCTAATGATTTAGTATTCTCGTAGACCTAACAAGATAGTAAATGAGGACAGTCTGGCATGCCTTCTCTTAGGAGACGTCTATTGTCTTTCATGATTATTTTTTATCTTCTGATAATTTCTTCTAGAAATTTATGACAATTACACACTTATTCTTCTTTGGTTTCTACAAATCATGCCTTTAAAAATTAGGATAATTGCCTCTGTTAAATCTTCGAGATCCTCTCCTGTCCTATTCTGGAAGAAATATAGAATTATTTCAATTTGGCTAAAAGATTGTGTTTGGGTTTGAAGATCATCTTATGTTTTTGGTCCGAGCTTTTTACTCTCTAGACTACCATCCTTTCTGGAGAAGAGCAGCTAAAGTAAGTAATACAGTAAAGTTTTCTCTGTATTATGTGTTGACATTATAACATCTGCCTCAAGGAATATGTTCGTCCTCTTCCTATTCCCAGTTCGGCTTTATTATTACGATTGCCAGTGCTATTGTTAGGAGTAGACTTCATCCAGTCTGAAACCCTGCGCCTTTTGATGGGGTCATTGAGCCCGTTCATGTTCAGAGTTACTATTGACAGATATGAGTTTAGTGTCATCATGATATCTATTCAGTCCTTGTTTTTGTGGATTGTTCCACTGAACTTCTTCTTAAAGGGGAGTTTTAAGAGTCCCCCTTAAAATTTCTTGCAGAGCTGGTTTGGAGGTCACATATTCTTTCAGTTCCTGCCTGTCTTGGAAGCTCTTCATCTCTCCTTCCATTTTGAATGAGAGCCTTGCTGGATAAAGTATTCTTGGTTGCATGTTCTTCTCATTTAGGACCCTGAATATATCCTGCCAGCCCTTTCTGGCCTGCCAGGTCTCTGTGGAGAGGTCTGCTGTTACCCTAATATTCCTCCCCATGAAAGTCAGGGACTTCTTGTCTCTTGCTGCTTTAAGGATCTTCTCTTTATCTTTGGAATTTGCAAGCTTCACTATTAAATGTCGAGGTGTTGAACGGTTTTTATTGATTTTAGGGGGGGATCTCTCTATTTCTTGGATCTGAATGCCTGTTTCCCTTCCCAGATTGGGAAAGTTTTCAGCTAGGATTTGTTCAAATACATATTCTGGCCCTCTGGCCCTTTCGGCGCCCTCGGGAACCCCAATTAAGCATAGGTTTTTCTTCCTTAGGCTGTCATTTATTTCCCTTAATCTGTCTTCATGGTCCCTTAATTGTCTCTTTTTTCCTCAGTTTCCCTCTTTGCCATTAACTTGTCTTCTATGTCACTCACTCGTTCTTCCACCTCGTTAACCCTCGTCGTTAGGACTTCTAGTTTGGATTGCATCTCATTCAATTGATTTTTAATTTCTGCCAGATTGGATCTAAATTCTGCAGTCATGAAATCTCGTGAGGCCTTAATGCTTTTTTCTAGAGCCACCAGTAGCTGTAGAATAGTGCTTCTGAATTGGCTTTCTGACATTGAAGTGTAATCCAGATTTTGTAACTCTGTGGGAGAGAGGGCTGTTTCTGATTCTTTCTTTTGAGGTGAGGTTTTCCTTCTAGTCATTTTGCTCAGTGCAGAATGGCCAAAAACAAGTTGTATTGGAACACGGGGGAGTATCACTGGTCCGTCTAGCTGGTCTTCTGGGGGAGGGGCCTGCTGTGCTGATTTTCAGGATAAAAAAGCAGGACCCATCTATTTGCTGTCTACAAGAGACTCATTTTAGACAGAAGGACACCTACAACCTGAAAATAAAAGGTTGGAGAACCATTTACCATTCAAATGGTTCTCAAAATATACCCTAAAAACTACAGAACACTTCTGAAAGAAATTGAGGAAGACACAAAGAGATGGAAAAATATTCCATGCTCATGGATTGGCAGAATTAATATTGTGAAAATGTCAATGTTACCCAGGGCAATTTACACGTTTAATGCAATCCCTATCAAAATACCATGGACTTTCTTCAGAGACTTAGAACAAATTATTTTAAGATTTGTGTGGAATCAGAAAAGACCCCAAACAGCCAGGGGAATTTTAAAAAAGAAAACCATATCTGGGGGCATCACAATGCCAGATTTCAGGTTGTACTACAAAGCTGTATTCATCAAGAACTGGCTTGATGGTACTGGCACAAAAACAGACACATAGATCAATGGAACAGAATAGAGAACCCAGAAGTGGACCCTTAACTTTATGGTCAACTAATATACGATAAAGGAGGAAAGACGATCCACTGGAAGA